TAACTTCTTCGATTACCTTTCATAATCGCAGCTTACAGACCCTGTAATTTCCCTTTGGCTTTCAATTAAGCCCACTCTACATGCTAGTTCCACCCTTTCAACAACTTCCTCCTAAGCACTTGATGATATGTTCTGCCAAAGCTCAATTGCCATTTAATTACTTCATTTAACGAAAACCAATAACAACGCCAACGCTGAGGGCGCCTGGCAAGTGCAATTGCACATGTTGAATGCAATTACAGGCAAAGCATTTAGACGCCAATAATTATTAGATATTTATATGCAGTCGAGAGCCAACAGCAACAGCAACAGCAACAACAAGTTTGCCAGACACTAAAAGCCAATGTTAGAGGGACGGGGGGACGACACCCCCGCTCATTGCATTGACATTGAATTGAATGCATCTGCTCGAATCTCTAACTGTAAAGTGCCATCAGACGTTAAGATGAGATTGTTTTCCCCCATTTTCCACCCCCTCTTATCGTTCATTGTCATCGGAACTAAGTTGCTTTTGGTCTGTGGCTCTTAGCACTCACTTAATTAAATGACAATTTGAGGGAAGATGATGTTAATGATGGCTGTGGATTGGGGATTGAAATGAAAATTTGATTTGGTTCTTGAGAGGGTGATGGGAAAGGAAATGTGTTTGAGTTTTTCGGTCTTTAAAAGCTTGGAAGTGGAAAATAGTGGAAATATTATTTCCTAAGCTTACGGTCTTAGTCTAGTGTTTGTTCTTTAACTCTAACTTAACTTTAGCCTCCATTTAGCACTCTGAAAATCTGAAATAATGCCCACCCCGTATACATTCTCAAGACACTCCCCCCTTAGATCAGCACTTGTCGAACGGGTTTCCACCTCTAAAGCCATTAACCCGTTGATGTAATCTAACCGAGGTGCTACATATTATTCAATTGAATCGGACTATTGCATAAATCTTGACCAGCGCCGTCACCCCGTTAGGTTCGTTCCACACCCAATCGGTGAATATTCATCAAGAACTGGCTGCACTTGTCATTATGTCAAGTTCGTTGAGAAATCCACTAAACTAGAGTTTAGTAATCAGAAACGGCTATAAAGAGACACCACATCCATCCCCAATCTCCAATCCCCTATCCCAGTTCCAGCCATAACCATTGGCACTACTAAGTTGTCGTTGGTGGCTCATAAAAAATGGCAATCACATTTGCATTGCATGCTCGACCAATGTAAATCGGACATCATACTGCGCATTTCCAATTCGATCCGATCGTTGCCCGATCGATTGTCAGTATATATAGTGTAGGTGTGTGTGTTGAGAAGGGCTAAGCTAAACCCAACAGATCCGATAGATAGCACGCAGTTTCCCCAGAAATCTGTGTACATATGACACGGTTAACTATTTATAGCGGCTCTGAGGTTTCCAAGGCTGTGTGTTTAGATTTTTGAACTCCTTGAAACGCCAATCAGGCTAGACGTTTCGAAAATTCAAACTAACTACTCTAGTTGAGTGCGGGATTTTCCTTAGTTAGGTAAAAGCTCAAGGGCTGAACTGATTTTCCCAGATTAAATGTAAAAAACTTGATTTTGTAGGTCAATATTTGATATATTTGAATGGGAATTTTTGTCATTATCTAAAACCATTTTTCCTTAATTGACTAACCTAAAAATCACTTTATAAGCCAGCCAACCTTTACTTCCTTTGCCCTCTATTTTTTCGATTCTGGGCTAAACCAGTTTGTGATTATCTTTCACTGGAAAACCACACCCTGACATAAAGTTAATTAAAAGCTTTCAGCGCTTTTGACATTCGCCGCTAATGTCGCGCCTCTTAAACGTTGCTCCCGTTGATAAGGTTTTTGCTTTTCATTTAGACAGCTAAATGGTGTCCTTGTGCGTAGAGTTTTCCAACAATTAATTCAGTTACTGGCTAACAGGCAGCAGGCACAGGCAGCAGGCACAGGCAGCAGGCTCAGGCAGCAGTGGCCGTTCTGACAATTACGAAATTCCTGGCCTGACTGCTCAGTAATTTTTATCACATACATTTTTTATCGCAAATATCACAACTTCATCAGCAATCAATGCGGCCAACAGAGGCACCAACAGCAGCAGCAGCAGCAACTGCATGCAACATGAGAGGCGGGCAGGCAGACAATTAGCCATAAAATTAGCTGCAAGTTGGCTCAAGGAATGCGCGTTGTCGATGGCCAAGGCGCTTGGCGGTGGCAAATTGAAAACAATTTTAGCTATTTGCATATAAATGCAACCTGAGACGCTGCCAACCAGCAGCAGCAGCAGCAACTGCAACTTGCAGCTGCAATGTTGCCCACCAATGTTGCTTAGAAATGTTGCTGGCCCACTGTGGAATAAAAATTGAAACCCTATTACCAATAAATCAAGCAAAAATAAATATTTTAACAATGCAGATAAAGTAGTTAAGATGTGGCATATTTCGTAAGTAGGCAAGTGAGTTTTTTGCTTATTAATTTAGAAGTCTACTCAAGTAATTGTTTTTTAGAGCAAACAATTTTCTATAAATTATAAATTCCAATAATTTAAAATACATTATAAAGAATTTCTAGAAAACTTTTCCAAATTAATAGGTCTAAAAATGTTTAAAACCTTTTTAAGTATCAAAAAAAGAAGCTAAAAATCTGCCTTGGCAACTACAAAAGGCTTGTTGCTAGTTAAAAGTTCTTAACTTTATAAACTTACTTACTTGTTATGTAACAGATATTAGTTTATGAGTTTTGTTTTTGTAAGACATTCCCTAATGAGTTTTTGATCACCTTATCAGCCACCTTTTTTTTTTTAATTTCCTGTACCCAATTTATCTCCCTGTCTGAGGGCAAAAAGTTTATCACAATTGCATATTAAACTAAATTAATTAGTTAGCTAAGTACTTCTAAAACCCAGATGTCTTAACAAATAAAAAGATAGCAAAAACGAAGACTTAAAACAAGTACAAAGGCTTACCAATATTTAAGTGATCTTAAATTACAAATTAGTGGAAAAGAATAGCTCCGTGATTTTTGTTCTTGTGAGATCTAGCCTAATGAGTTTTTGATCACCTTATCGGAGAGCTCTTTTTTACCACTTCCTGTACCCAGTTTTCTCCCACTGTGCTGGGCCGCCGTAAAGTTTATTGAAATTGCATTTGCCATATAGTTCATAATGGCATGTTCTCCGACTGTGGTCAGTACTAAGCAGATAAAGATTGCCGAGGGCGATCGACAAATGCTTTTATCAGCTCTGGAATATAAATATTGATATAGTCCGAGAGTGGACTTGGCAACAATTAAGGTGGCAAACATATGGGAAGGCACAAGGCACCCCGAACCACGTGCTCGGTTTATTATTATTATATACATAAACATGTGGAATTAACAAAAAAATACAAAAAAAAAATCTCCCTCGAACACTTGTGAATGTTGTTAAAAAATATTTCCACAAAGGTTCAAACTACATTTCACGCCTAATTTCATCTGACAACAACAGCAGCGAAAACTTGGGGAATACGTTTCTTATTTTCCTTTATTTTTTTTTACACATTTTCTTGGTGTTATTTTTTAGCGGCTATTGCGGCTCTTGGGGAAGGGGCAGTGGGGCGGCGAGGGGCGCTCTGTGTTGGCTGCTGTGTTAATTTGAGACATAATTGCAAGCTCGCCAGGATGAGTGGGGTGGTGGGGCTAGGCCAGGAGGCTGGCATAGGGGGAGGGGACAGCTGCGCCGACTGGTTATGACAGCAATGACAGCTGCGGCAGCGTCGGCATTTGAATAATTTGCAATTAAACGCTCCACGCGGCTCAGCAATTAAGCGAGGAGTCAAGGAGGAGGGGCAGCGGAAAAGGTGCTGCAGAGAGAAAAATTTGTTCTGGGTGATTGTCCTAATTAAAGGATTCTAAGAGGACTAAGTTTAGTAACTTTTAATCTCTTCCTTTTTTAGGATTTTTCTCACAATTTTTTAAGTTTTTAATTTTTTTTGCCTAAAAAATTTTATTAAGAAAGAAATATAAAGAAAATTCTACCATTAACATTTAATTTCCCTCACTGCAGTTCGGGGGAGTGAGAAAAAAAAAGCCAAACATTTCCCCCAAAAAGCCAGAAGAAACCACCAAATGTACCACACGACGTATGCGTAATATTTGCATATGATTCAGCCAGCCTGGTCGACTTTTGAACGGGTTTATCTGGTAGTCACAGGAGTTGGCCTGAGAACGAATCCAAATGTCCACGTCCATCAGCTGTCCGCAGCTGCTGAAAGTTGATGGCCCGCGATGAAGACAGCGGACCGGTCAAAACCAACACCCAACTGTGTTTCCAATTAAACGCCGCTTAGCCAAACAACGCGGCCAACAAACAACAAGCTAAATAAACGCCAAACTACCAAAACGTCAGCGAGACTTTCAATTCGGTTTTACGGTTAGTTCGTGAGTCGGTTGCACTGAACTTGAATCTTTATGTGGCAGACAGATCGGGCCTGGAGGAGACCCAAACCCCCCTCCCTGTCCCAAGATCAAATCCAGATCCAGATCAGAGCTCTGCGATTCAAAGAAGAGAAAAAAAGTGTGATATGGACTGACACACTGACTAATTGATGGCCCGCTGATTGATTGATTGATTGATTGACTGCCGATTGATTTATGGGCCATCGTGGGGGGTAGCGTTAGATTTTCCGCTGATCTGATAGTTAAACGGTGTTTGATAAGTCTTTGGTGTTGGTCTTTGAGTGGAATTGAAGAGGAAGTATGATGAACATTTTTAAGATTTTTTAAGGGAAGAGAAGTGTTAGGAAGGGAGCTAGGGTGCCCTAATCGTTAGGAGTCTAATCTTAGATCATACAAAATAATATATGTAGTACATTATTTGTGGCTTTTCCGGACTTTATCAAAACAAATTAGTAGGCAAAAATTAACTCATTAACTATTCACTCTAGCCTGACTAATGACTGCCCTAAATATATGATTCAAAACAAGTACAATATAAATCAGTTATAGAAAAGATTTCCAAGAAAGTAGCTGAAAATGTTGTTATTACTCCTCCTGGTACTGTCTTTTTACGAATCCCTCAGTGAGTAATCCAATTTTAGATACTTTCTAAGCAAAAGATACTTTTTTCTAACCACCAATAAAGCTCTTCGTAGCAAGTTCACCAATGTGAGCGTAGAGTGCAGTCATGACTTCTGCTCTCACATTCGGGGATGGCTCACCAAAAAAGGTGAGGTCAACCTGGATATCCACCTGAATCGCACTTTGAGGAATGGACTGAGGACTACACTAACACTGCTGCAACTGATAGATGGCCAAAATCGGTACCAGATACTTTTCAGCTACGACTTGGACACCTGCAAAACGCTGCGGGAACTTTTGCAAGCCAGTTTGATGAAGGTCTGGCTGAGAAACGTGTTCAAGTACGGGAATTTGGCCGACCGCTGTCCCATACAGCCAGTGCGTACTGTAATACTCAATTTATTCGAAGGTCTGGGTCAAAGTTTCTCTGTCTCTTTCTCCACTGCAGGCCAACTTTGAGGTTCGCAACTTTCAGCTGGAGAACCACAGCATTCCGGGGTATTTGCCAGCGGGATTCTACCGCCTCCATGACACAAATTACTACGGAAAGCCCAAGGGCAAGCAACGGCGTCCGGTGGCCACTTTCATATTGGATATAAAGTTCTATTAAATGGAAATGGAAAATGTGGGAATTGAAGATGCTCAAGTGGGTCACACGGGTGGGGCTGCTCATTGGCTAACGAGTTTCAAGGTTGAGTTTGGCCTCTTGTTTCGTGTAGTGGAAGACCAAGTTCAAGCTGATAAAAGTCTGAGAAAACTACAGGGATTGCCCTGTATACTATGTATACTCAAGGTCTTTCTTTTGGCCAAAAGTATTTCTGACAGCCGCTGGGCCTGCTCCACTTTCAGCTGGGACATTTGCCATCTGACAATGCAGGTCTTTAACTAATTGCATAATAAATTCAAGTGAATTTATGGCGCTGCTCCTGCAAACTGTCCTTGCTCATTTGCGTTGTCAAAAAGTCGCTCAATCTAAATGATTTATGCCTTTATACGAGCTAAATGCAGGCTCACGTGTTCGCCGCTGCTCTACATAATATTGTTTTCTCATAATTGAGTGTGCTGTGGGTGTTCCAGTTTGCGGTTTCAATTAGGAGTTGAGAAAGCAGGCTAAACTTTGGGGAAGTACTCGAGAAAATCTTTAAATCTTTAACTTTTATATCTTAGTAGTGAGTTTAGGAAAGAAACATAAATCACAGGCTTCTTCTGCATTCCTAAATCTAAGCTGTAGGTATATATCTCCTTTAATTTATTTCCTAACTAATTTCTGTAGAGAGACAAGTTCAAGTTTAAGTGGCAGATAAATCTTAAAAAGAGTTATCTTTCTAATTTTAAAAAGGGGATTTTTTGGGAATTTTAAAAAAGGTTTTAATAGTTCATAAATCTCTGGAAGTGATTTAGAGGTATGGAAATCTGTTAAACTTGAGGTAAAAATGTTCTTATATATAAACAAGGTAAGGTTAAAGTTTAAGGCTATTATTCCTTACAATACTTAGACCTTACTTTAGATATAAATATAACCACAAAATATTTCATAGATCTAAGCCCGCTTAACTAGTATATCTTTCTAAGCACTTTAATTCCCTTTCAGGTTACCACAGCTTACGGTCTATGCCAAGATTATTTACCTCCTGATGGTGAGTAGCATAAATACCTTAAACATGATTAATGCTGGCTTAACCCTCAACCCTCAAAACCCAACTTAGTCATATTGAATCCTTGACTACCTCTGCCCAGTTCATCACACTCGAAACCTTACAATGCAACAGTTTTTGATAAACATTTTTAGATATTTACACCGCACAGCGGGAACTCAAATATTGTCGTTAAGTGCCCTTCAGGGGGAATATTGACGCGTGTGCAAATATTCGATAATACTATCAAATGTTGTATCAAGTTATATCATCATCCTCTCGTCATGCCAGAGAGCAACAAACTTGTCCAAAGCCAGGCCAAGCCCAGACGCCGCGAAACTATGCCAATTATTTTATCAAAAGGGAATTTCCCTGCAAATCACAAACCAACATTGGTCGTCCGCCGTTATCAATTGCGATTGGGCAAATATTTACCAAAAAATACGAATAATAATAAATAAAAAGACGAGCAACTACAATGGAAATGTCGAGTGAATACTTATAAAAATGCCAACCATCGAACGCTAATTAAATTATACTGTTCTTCATTTTTTTACACGTTTTCACCAGCTATTTTGTGGTTGCTTTTCCTCTCTTTTTTTTCGTACACTTTTAATTTATTTGGCAATCAATTTGAAGTATGACCTGGGGGTTTTGGGGAGGGGAATGTCGGATGTCTGGTTGGTTGTTAATGTGCCGAAATAAATAACTGGAATATCTGGCATTCCTTGGGCGTGAAACAAACTGGGCGACGTCTTCGTTGGTGGAAGTTCCGTTTACTGCGATTTTTCATGAACATCAACCTCAGTGTATTTACAGCAAGTATTTGCTTATTTGTTCTAAATGAACAACAAAATGATTTTGGCAAGAGTTGGCTCGAGGCTGATTGAATTGTTAAACGTTTTTTTTTTTGGTTTTTTATATTTTACCGCTCAGGTATTTCTCAAGCCCTAGGCATTCGGTAAATCTCCACTGCCACTGTCTGAACCGAACCTCTTCATAAACTCGAATATGCAAATTATGACCCGGTGTGATTATTTTTGGCAATAATCAATATGCCAAAAAGTTCCACTTGCAATTAAGGCGGATGTGAAGATGGTCGAAAGAGAACTGTGCTAAAATTTGTTTTTAAAATATTTAACTTTTGTTTTTTATTACAAGAAAGGGGAGGCTCTCTTTGATTAATAACAACTTTATAGCACATAAATATCCTTTTTTTCACATTCATTTTCTTTATTTCTTATTTACTCACTTAATGTAGTTATTAAATGTGAAATGGTCAAAACTTTCGTAGTTTATTGTTATGAATTTCTTCGTAAATCAAACTTTTATGGCCCAATATAAACTCGAACCTTGACTTTTCTAACCAACTGCACTCGAAATACTTTGATGTGCCCCAGGATGGAAGGCTTCTTTATAGCTGATGGATGGCCAGAATTTAATATATCTAATGCAAGTGAAGTGCCAGGGGGTTAATATATATATTTTTACTCAGGAAAATCGCCGATGATGGCAATGAACGTGTGCCGAGCAAATAAATGAGCAATCAAGGGCCAAATTAGCGGCGCTTTTTATGGTAGCTTAACATGGGGCTTTTGATAGTGTCGATTTTGATTGGCGCCAGGTAAGGCAATTGATGTTCAGATAGCTGAATTACAATGCCATCGGGACTAGACGAAGATATCGAGTCCAAGAAAACTCAACTGTCAGTGGCGAAATTACGTTTTAAATTAGTTACACGAAGTTTATTTACTTTATTTTACAAATTAAGACCAAGATGTTGCTTTATCTAAGTTTGGAAAACATAGCTTATTATGATTTCTGCGTATTTCTTATCGTTAAACTTATTGGCAATCCCGTAAGTCTTCATTATTTTGTTTATATTTTGTTGTTATGAAATAATTCTTCCAACACCTGATTATTTTATTTAAAAAATGCTAAGAAATTTTTAGGTTTTAATTGAAGATGTAAAAATATATTTTTTTTCGGGTTATACCCTTATCACCCCAAATTTAGTGTCTTTCCCAGACGTTTAATCTTTCCTTCTTAACATTGAAGTTCATCAATGAAAGCCAGATAGCCATGGGGATTTCACTTTTCATCGGTTTAGTAAACATTTCCACTAAAAGATACTTAGAATCATATCAAATCACTTACATTGTCTTAATTTCCGCTATGATTTTTATTAAGTATATTAACAATCTGATGTTAAGATTCAGTATTGATTAGAATCCTTCAACCTAACTTGCATTTAGATACCAACCAATGAGAAATTGAGGGCCATGTTTATGGCTTAATTAGTGATATCTGAGGTCTACCACCTCGATTCTGGTTCTTGTTTTATTAGTAAGTTTAAACGTTGTTGGGATATTATTGAGTGCTGTTTAATTTCCTTTTTTTTTTTGGTTCTTTTTCTTGCTTTGTAGCCCCAAAACAGCGGCGCTTATCAGGAAATTATTTCAAAACGTTAATTGAATTGTCAATAGATGGGGAGGCAGAACAGTTTTTTGGTGTCTGGGGCCTCTTTCGAACTGGTGATAGGAGAAAGAACGAAAGGTGTACGTACGCGAAAGATATACGCCCCAAAGAACATATACTTCTTGGTATTGCCCCTATAAATACCAAGAGCCAAGAGTAAGTATGTAAGTCGGTCTCTAATTGCATTTGCCAGATAAGAGTTTCATGGCAGCTTTTCAAATTTTCGGTTTTGGCTTTCTCGTTATGGAAATCCATCCAAGGCCGTCATAATATCCGAAATCTATAGAACTTGTTATTGTTTTTATTCTCGATATCTTTGGCCATATCGATTCTGACCGGAATCGGTATTTTATCTTGATCGTCGCATTGTTTTGGTCAACAGCGGAAAGTTTCGCGTCGCGTTTCAAAAACGTGATTTGCGATAGGAGAGTGCGAATAAAACGTGTTTACCGCAATCACTATGACTGGCATTGATAAATTGGGCTACCTCAAGAATGCCACTTCGATAGGTGTATGATAGTTTTCACTGGGATATGGGAATCCCCAAAACGTTAGGAGGTTACCGTAAGGTCAAAGTTGGATTCATATTCATTATGAAAACACCAACAGCTTTATGAGTTAAACTTATGAATAATTCTACTATTTCCAGTTCTTAAGATTGAAGTTGAAGTAGTTGTTATTATTTCTTAACCCTGCCTGTTAGCAACCCCTATATAGCTTTAGATGCCAAAATCAAGATAAATCCTCAAAATCATTGCTGCCAATCTTGAAACGTGGAACTTATATGCTGACCCATACGAATGCCCAGACAACTTTGAGATACGGAAAGTGGACAAGAGGCCTGAGCTATCTGGACATAATTTGATATGATATGAACATGATATGATCCCGCCAGCCAAGTCGTAAATTAAGTTTTTGTTTCTTCGAAAAAAGAAACAATACAGACGGAGCTAAGACCCCTTGACATTGTCAGTGATTTTGATTTATGCTCTCCGGGCGAAAAAAACATTCGATTGTGGTATCGATTTGGTCTTCAGCCTTAAAAGGCTTTTGCTGTAAAACGCTTTTCCGACACTTTCACGCCACGATTTCCGCTTTCCAAGTGTATTTCTCCTTTTACAGCCGCTGTTTACATTGCTAATGTGTGGGCAAATATGGCAGTTTTCCTGGGATAAAATGTTGATATCAGCCTGATATTGAAAATGCCTGTTTTTATTTCCAGAGATCTGTGTTTTTGTCTTTTGGTAATCGCTGGTTGCCTATCCTTTTGCTATCATATATTTCATATGTTATAAATACCAGTAATTTGCCAATCGCAGACCTCCGTCGCATTTGGCTAGCCATGTGCGTTCGGCTTCTTATCGATGTTCTCCTATAAAAGGCCACTAAATATCATCTAATAAGTTTCTAACAAAACAAACTAAGACTAGGACAACTAAGGAACATGATGCTAAAGCTTAAAATATTAATAAAATATTATTGTGTTTTTGCAATTAGTCTGGTGACCAATTAAAGCAAATGGCAGCTTAAGATAGCCTTTTTACTGCGCAGATGTTTTGCAGGGCATTCACGTGTTATTACTTTGAATAACAAATTGGTCTGGCGAATATTTGCTTTTTTTATGTAAATATTATTGTCGCACTCGAAATTGATGGGGCACAGTGGGTCGAGATAGTTGCAGGTGGCAAGTGGCCCCCTACTTGGGGAAACAATATAATTTATACATTAATAAATGCTGCACAAACATTGGATTTATTAATAGGCAAATGCCAGTTAGGAATGTTATCAAAGCCACTGGAAGAAATTTTATGTTATACATTTTATTTCTAAACCAGGATATAACTTTAAGTATTTATCATTATCATTAATCTTCAAAGCTATTGGCATATTAAAGAAAAATTAGCCTTGGTTTTGATTTTTAAAATCAAGAAAATTTCGAAAATAGGGTTTGAGTCTTAGATACAATATTTTCTATCGTCAAAAATATAGCTTTTCATGTCTAAAGGTCTGCATTTAAGGGATAATCACCCAACTACTTGCTTCCTAACTCCTCCAGCCATCTACCACCTAGAACCCAACCATCCACCACCCACTTTTCCCCCACCTGATAGCAGCAGCACCAGCAGCAGCCCCAGACGAAGCTTCGCAATCTTATCGTAGCTGCTCTTATTGATTAATATAAAGATACTGACAGCCCAATCGGCGCAGTTCTGGCGGGTATACTGACTCGCATTTGTATCTGTATCTAAATGGGGAAGGCTAAGCACCGGCACCGGCACCGGCAACGGCACAGACCCTCCGGAGGGAGCTCCGATGTAGCACCTTTCTCACCTGGCTGGCGCTTGGGGCTTGACATATAGAGCAAACAGAAAGACACAATTATTTTTTTATATTATTGTTATTTGTTATAATGGGCAGATATGGGAGCTCCTTTTGGACTGTCCTATCTGACACGCATTTCTCTGCCTTTGGCGCCCCCTTACTGTATATCGATAAAGGCGGCATTGAATGACTGACAGTGCACTGAGCGAAATTCCACGCCCTGCCTTACACAGCTATTTGCGCACTTAGATAAGCGTCTGTTTTTTTTTTTTTTGGCAGCCCATCAAAAGTGATAATCGATTGGTTTTCAGGTGTTTTTTTCCTTTCTTTTTTGTTTGCTGGCATGGCATTTCGGAAGCTTTGTTTGGGGAGAGTTTTTATGGGTGGGAATTATCGCGAATGGCTTCTGTTTAATAAAGGGGGGTTATTGGGAAATATTTATGATAATTAGGGAATTTTATTTTGCAATGTCTGGTTAGGGGTTTTATGAATATAAACAGACTTTTCCAAGAAACGTAATTTTGCATTGTTATAGATGGATTATAACTTACATAAGGTTTTCCTTTAAGATACTGCTTAGTAAAAAAATATGATATGGGACCTCCCACGATCACTTTCACCATTGTGAAACCCAACCAGCGAGCACTCCCACCTGTCATTGCAATAGCTTATGTCAACTGCAAGTGACCCAAATGTGGATCCCCTGACTCCGCCTATTTTACTGTCTCAAAAACAACTCACAAAAGCCCCGCAGGAACCAGAGTTTCATTTTGGGTTATATGCATAGAGAAACTCTCCCTTTTTATCACAAGCCAAGGCAAACTTCCGCTCAGTGTAACCCCGCCCCCATTTTTATGGAACATTCTGAGGGCAGTTGAGCGCCAGGCGGCCTTTTTGTGATTTGTGATTGTGAGTGTGTTTGTGTGTATTTGTGTGTGTGTGCTGACAACAGAACAGAGTCGGAGGAAAGAAAGACAGCCGACGAGCTGTTTATGATGATGATTTCTGCCATATGCCATATGCCTTATACCGTGTGCCTTATGCCACATGCCATATCCATGTTACCATGATTTAGATGTTTTTGGCTACGTCTGGGCTGGAGCTGGAAATGGAACTGGAAAGCTGTTATAAACACGACTATTTGAGCTGCATAATTACCGCTTTGTTGTTTATTTCCTGTAACGTGCAAGACGAACCCACCACCTACCATACATCTCCACCCACAAAGTCTGATGGCAAACAGAAAATAGGTCTACTCATTGGGGGCTTATAAAGCGGTTCCGTTATTGCAAAACGCATTTCGTCTTATCAGTGGGGCAACTGTTGGCTAAAGAACCCAAAAGGCTCTCGGAATATTCCACATTGCGAAGCATTATATTTGTCTATCAAAAGATACAAAAGACTGGAAATCGTTTATAGAGTTGGTGACTCTGGATTTTTCCATACTGAAAACCATGAAAGTTTAGTTTCCAAGGGCTATTTTATAGCAATTTGCTGGGGTTTCTTTTGGGGTTTTCATGGGTTGAAAACGTTTAACATTCCATTGTACAAAAACAAAACTTAGCCAAAGGGAATTTCCACTGGGCTTATGTTCTATATTTCAACAAGGAAAGGGCTTTACAAGGGTAATGAGGTCTTAGTGGGGGTCTTGAATGTAAATATTTGTACCTAAAGGAATTCCAAATATTTGTCATTAACTAAAAATTTTCCACCACGCTTTTTGCATAGATATATGTATTATTTTTTATTTATACCACAAGGAATGTCAAGTATTTGCTAAGTACATAAATTATTACACCATGGTTTTGGGTAGATATATTATTTAAATAACTTAAGTCTAGCGAGGAAAAATGTTTAACAGTTTACATCTCTGTTATGTCGATATAAAGGTTATCTCCTAAAACATTTCTATAGCTAAAAAGATCTAAAAATATTCTTTAGAAATTTCAAATTAATTATCAAAAAATATCTATAAACCATTCATGGGGTATCATGACTTCGATCATAGCTCTTGATTTCGCAACAGTCGCTTTTGGTTGGCGCAACCCCCCGGCACGAGAATCAAATCAATTAGTACGCTTGTCAAATTCCTTGTTGTATTTTGGATTAACAGTTAACGCAACATTTTTGGCGATATCGATAGAACGATAACAGGCGACGCGTGGCCGGCTCAACTATACTTAACAGATCTTTAACCTTGTATTTCTATATTACGATAACCCTACGATAACAGAATCTTTTCCTTTGGGAAAGACATGGAAATAGGTAATCCCCAGACTTGACCACATTTTTACATATGGCAACTGATGCTATTTTGGTTTATTTCCGTTGGCGAAGCATTAAAAATCGATCAGTTTGGCTTGAGACTAATCCACTTGACCGTCGTCGTTCTATTTTGGTGCCTTGGTTTCCCCCAAAAATATGGTTAAGAAACCCAACTATTTTATCGGTGTGAGTAAGGTCAGTCACATTGGGTAGCTATTTGCTGCTGCAGTACAGTTGCATCCAATTACAGCTATTACAGTGCTGACTCGATGAGCTGAACTTTAGGCTGTGATTAGAGAGCTCAATTAAAATACCTTACCGATAATTGAAGTGAAGTACTGGCACTCGAGACCCCACTCGATCGCACATTTTGCAGTACCGAAATCGACGCTTATCGATCGATGCCAGGCGAACGACCTTAAACACGGGGTCTTGACTCTATGTACCCTTGTTATGCAAGTCCCTGAAAGACTTTGGCCAAAAAATATTTTAGCCATGACTCGGCCAGGAATGTGTTGCCTGCTATCTGTTATCAGCTATCTGCGACGCTTCCGCGTCACTTGATTGATCAAAGAATGTTCAGGCAACAAACCCTTTTTTTCGCTGCCTTTTTGCGTTGTAAACCGAAACTTCGTGGCGATCTGAGGGCCCGACACTCGAGAGCCCCCGATACTCTGATGTTACGTCTGATTCGGTGCTGATAAAATGCCAGGGCGTTTATTGTATTTGACTTGATTTGTTTGGCATTGTCTTTGTCTATCTAATTGCTGTCTACAAAACTAGATTTCTCGGAAATGTTCCCTTGGCCAAATACTAGAGACGAGTGTCTAGGATTACGGGCTACCACTAACTGTAATTTCAGTTAGCTGGACACTTCGGCATAGACAGGTGATTCAGTTTCGGTTGGACTTTTGGACTTTAGAATGTATATCAACGGGGATTTGAAAAGAGTTGGGTAAGAGAATTGCATAAAAGAAATTACGAAAGGTAGATAGCTAGATAGAGGGTAACAGTTTGTCCTTAACTTGGGACTTAAAATCGAGATATATACGGATAACTTATATAAAAAATACCTAGTGAAGTAAACCTCAGATCTCTGGCATTATTAATCAATTTTCAAAAACTTTCGAGCAGAATGCATGTACGAAATTTTCTGTGTTGCTTGCCCCTAAAACATGGTGTGGTTTCGGTGGGCGCTGCTTTTGGCCTAGTGGACTTCCTTTTGGGTTGCTATGGATGGGAAATGGTTATCGCAGACACATATCCGGAATATTTAGTCGAGTTTTTTAGGACCATGGACACCCGAGTTTGCGTTGCTGGATTTTCAGCACTTTTTTGGGTGATGATGGTGATTCACTGTCTTCTCTTATATGGCGTGTTCTGTGTGAGTTTTGAAGGTTCAAACACAAAACAAAATCAATCTCATAGATCCATCTAAACCTAGAACAAGTTTGTGATTATCGGAACATGGCTGTTGATCAACTATGTCGTATATTTGTTTACCCTCGTGACTGTATTGTTGGATAGCCTGGCAATCTTTAGAATAAGTAAGGCTTTGAAATGGAAATCTATTAATCACATATTAAAGTTAAGTTTTTAGTTGCTTTCGGATACTGTTTGATCGTGGTGAAATCCTACTATGCTGAAATGACTATGGTTGAGGAAACATCTGATAGCAGCCGAGGAGCCAGCGATAGTGATAGTGGAGAAGAGTCACAGGCATAAGTTTTAGAGCTGAGTTATAGATTTGGGTATACATATATCACCATTCCCATTTTTCCAAATCAGCAGTATTTATCTTTCTCCTTCCTGAAAGGCAAACAGGATTAAGCGATAATGAAACTGCACTTTCCGAAAATGCCGTCAAAAGCCCTGCTCAGACTCATTAAAAATCCATTAAACTCGATAAAAAAGAGAGGGCGAGTGAGATGGAGGCTCCATCAGAAAGAGACAGAGAGCGGAATAAGCATTTCTTAATAAGCTTTACACTCAAATCTGGAGCACTTGGTGACAGTTCCCAATGCCTTTTTTTTTTTGGGTTTTTTGCCTTCAAAAAGGGTGAAGTCCACATAAAAAAACATACGAAAGTCGAGGGCCGGCCACTTAAAAGCTCATTTTGTGAGTGCATTTCGGTGTTGCATATGCAAATAAATCATTCCGTTTCGAATTCAGATTTCGTGCCCCTCATGAGATATGCAAAAAATAAAATCAACGGGTAAATGAGCTCCCAAATCGTTTTAACTACAAATGAGCCAAATCAGCGTTGATCACGAGCAGTTTATGGTTGAGCATGAATTATAAATTAAATCGAATTTTAAGGGATAATCCCAGTCACTATTGGCTGCTAAATATAAGGTTGAGGAAGTTGTATAACTTGGCCTTCCTAGGTGGTGAGTCATAGATTTTAAGTCAGCTCAACTTGAACTCTATATCAGGCATATTACGAGACGTTTGTTTATTTAAGTTAAATAACTTAAAATATTTATTTACTTCAGAAAGGAATGCTATTGTGATATATAGGCTAAGATTCCAAAGTAACTGAATGGCATTCTTAAACATTATTAATCAAAATTCCAGAAAACCTTTTAAGTAACCCTCCTGGAATTTACATCATTAAAATTTAAGTTTAAAAAACAATTTTAAAACTATATATCTAAAACCAAGAATCACAAATAACAAATATATTTTATCGAAATTTCTAAGCAGTCATTTTCTTTCTAACTTAATTTTAATGAAGAATATTTTCAATTAAGTCTACCCTTCTGACTAATATTTTAAGTATAAACTTTAGACAAACATTTCCTTTGAGAGTGACTAACATTTAGAAATATTTCTAACAGCCACTTCCTTTTATTATCTTTTCTCGAATTGAATTTAAATAAAAATCCATTCATATATTACGTCTAAGGGGGTGATAAAACCAAATTTAAACACCAAGCTTGTTTGATAATTCATTTAATAAATTTCATTTTAAAGTGAGTCATCATCATCTGGAATAGGGGTTTCCTTTCATTATCTGTTCTAATATTTAATTTAAATAGAGAATGCTCTTATGAGACTTAGAAAAGTGACTAATAGCTTAAACAGAATATTCAAACAACAATTTCCCTTCAGAGATGTGACAAACATTGGAAACTATTTCGAACACCCACTTCCTTTCATTTCATTTACTTAAACTCTTACTTAAATAGTGACTCATCACATTGACCAATAACCAATGTTTGTACTTACATCCAGCTATAATGAGCAGTACCATAAAACCTATTTACCCGATACAGATACAAATACCAGATACAGTTGCAGTTGCGGGTTGAATGACACCGCCCTCGAGTGCAGCAAACATCATATCAGGGGAATATCGATAAGGCAAGGAGCTCCGGCGATTCACTTCGGTTGGCTACAAAGTTGGGGATATAGTTATCAACGGCATAACTCCCGATACAAATCGGTTTTGTGGTTTCACAACTTTGTTTAATGATTGGCATAAAATTCACTTTCCACTATACGACTGCCTGCCGTGCGTTTTATGCCTTGGATCGGAGTCCTCAAAAAAAAAGAGTCCAAGCGATCCAAGCTGCCGACTTTGCTCTTCTAGAATTTATGCGGTGCCATTAAAGAAGTGTCCATAAAACGTTGCGCTTAATTAAAATGCCACGTAACGCATTTAACCTCAGGATGGCGTTCAAAGTTGAGTTGCAAATTGCTGGCTGGCAACCTATATTTATGGCTACAGCCAAAGCAATCGGCATCCTTTTTCACCGCCTAATGAGATTTTCACAAAAGCAAAAATCATAATTTCCACGCGCAACGAAGCGCAACAAATTGCCCTTTTTTGCCAAGGGGGGGCGTGGCATTTGCCACAGTTTCAGACTCACTGCAAGACACACCCATTTCTGGGAAAAACAAAAGAGGCAACTTGAGTTGCGATAACAGCTTGAGTTTGGAAATTAAGATTAAAAGTGTTTTTCATTGATATTCCAAAGTAAATTAGATTACATTTCTATAATTTGCCATTACTTTAACCTTGACCGCGTCTTTGAGCGCTGATTACCCCGCTATCTGACTTGAGGAGATTTTCACATTCGCTGGATATTTATTTCCAAGCAGCTGACAAGGAAAATCGTTCACTCTCACTTTTGACTTCACTTGGAAACCGTGAGAATGACAAGTTTGATACGTAGATTAAGTGGTTTCAGACAAAACAAAATTTATGGATGCTCCTCAAATGCGGAATTTAAAAGTGACGTGTTTAGCCGTAAAAATAATGTGATATTTCTTTCAAGGAATTCCCGTGCTCATCCGCTAAATATAAAGTATTCACTATTTGTTTGCCAAATTGGAATTTGATTTATCATCATTGAATAGCAAGTATCTGATCAAATGCAGAAAGAATTTCATTATTCCATATCAGACTTTCGAATGAATGTTAAAACAGAATCTTATCATGCTGGACGAAGGGGAAGAAGTCACTCCTATTTTGATTTGTATTTTTATAAAATACTCGAACAGCGAATCTGTTTTATGACGGGAAGCGAATGCAGATTAGGAAATCAATCCACTACACGAAAATTGTTTGGCTTGGCCTCGCTCTCAATATTTTGCCACCGTTATTATCTATCTATTGAATTTCCAGAGGCTAGCTGGCCAAATATTAATAATCCGCCGCGTTGTACCGCTGGCTTATGCAATGAGCCGTGGCAATTACAGATTTCTTTGCGATTGCCCGCCCATTGAGGCGTAAGTAATTTTCGGTATGAGGGAAGGGGGGGGGTACTCCAAAATTCAATACCCGAATGGATCATTAAAATATGAAATTTTCTGCACATTAAACAAGCCACGAGATACAGTATCTGCGGTGGCTTTCGAGACCTATCTGTCTGTGTCCGCATATCAATTTCACCCCAGGACACAAAACTGCACCCCGGGAGCTTGATATCTCGGCGGTCTCCGCCTGTGTCTTGAACCCTTTCGTCGCATAAGGCAACATAATTCGCTTCCGTTTGCCAATCCAAACAACAACAAAAAGGACTAGCAAAAAAAGGCAAAAGGATAAGTGCACTGTAAATAAAATTTATGATTATAGAAGAATAAATAAGCTGGAAACGGATTCAATCAAAGTCAATTTTTAAGGCAATCTTTTTAATGTGTATTTTAAATATTTTTAATTTCTAGTATACTTTTTCAATCTGGTTATAAATGTGGCCTCTTCAGTGTCATTTTATATTACCATTTTTATTTTTAAGTGCATCCAAAGTAGCAGGGCGGATTGTCAGTCTTTCGACAGCTTCCTTTTGCGGTTCCCCCTCGTGTCTTGGCCCCCTTCTGGCCTGCATTTGTGTGTCAGTTGCCAGTTTCGCGTCTTTCCGCTTCCGTTTTACTTGCCACTGTCGACGGCGACTCGACCCAAAGCGACCCCATAAATCCGCTCACTGTTTGTCTTAGATCGTCCCACTCCCATTTCTCCATTTTCCATCTCCCACTTTGCCCTTCATCGTAACTTTTCCTCGTCGCCAGTCGCCAGTTATCCTACACATATTTATTTTCCTTTTAAATGTGTTTTTTGTTGATTTTATTGCATCGCCCTGGCAGTTCAATGAACGCATTTGCCGGCGCCATTTGCCAAGTCATCCCCAGCCCCACCCCCTCTTATACATATATCCCCTGTTATACCAAAAAAAAAAAAAAACCCCTTCTTGGCACGTTGTTTTTCTTAAATTTCAAATATTCCAACATATTACATTCTCATACTCGTCGGAGGCACGCAAACATTTTGGCGCACATTTCCGCAGGAAAATGGCAGCCGAAATGCCAAAAGGCCAGCGGACCAGGTGGTTGTTGTTGGGTGGGTGGGGTTGGTGGTGAAAGTGGGAAGCGGGATGTGGGGGTTCGACCTTTTGCAGCATGTTCATGCCGTTTGACATGCAACTTGGGGCGCAGTAGGGTCGCAGGTGAGGGAGAGCTATGGCTAGACTCATTACGCCAAAAGGGGACGATTTTTTTTGAGGCAACTAACAGTGGTGAAAATTTGTTCATAGAAAAGCATAAATATTAATAAGAAAATAAATAAAATACTTTGAGAAATAAAATTAAAGTGAATAATCTTTATAATCCATTTTAAAGTGTAAAAATCTTAATGGCATTCCCTCGACAGTTTCTCTCACTAAACCTCAAAGCTGACCCACTGTTCGAATCACCACCATTTGCCCCTTTCACCGGACTGATCCATTATGTTATTACATTTACTACAATAACCAAATTACAGGTCTGTCGAGGGGCAGGCACTTCCGTTCTATTGATTACATTTGCATTTTGATTAACAAATGATTCGAACCCTGCCCTGATTCAACATTTGGATGTTATCCCCCCAGTGGGATATAGTATATAGTATAGTGCATTATTCACTGGCATAAAAGCTTGGGGCAAGTGTTTAGATTTGCTTTAATCACCTTTATTACTTGTCAAACACGATTCGCCCGCAGGCCACATTTTCCGCACTGAGTGTGAGCAATGTGTGTGTGGGTTGGATATTTTGTTGGCTTTGCGGTTTTTTGTTTACATGTTTGGGGAACAACAGCAAATGTGTGGAAAACTCAATACGCTTTTCGGGTTTTGGCTTTTGCGGTTGGCCCGAAAACATTCGATACAAACGGACGACACGTGCCCGAAAACAAACAGCGAACGGCAAACCGAAAACCAGGAAACCGCAAGATCCTGTCCAGATATAAAGGCACGGTCGTAAACCAATCTCGAAGGGAATCAATTAAAGCTCATTAGCCTGGCCCAAAAACCGAAAATAGCCAGGAAACTCGAGCGATAAGGCAGCTGTCCGCCCGTTGAATTCTTATATATAAATATGGGTAATATACGATCCGATAGCAAAGTCCGCCGTAGAAAGGCGGATGCCACTGGAGACGATCCGATAGAGCCGGTGTCATGGAATCTTTCATAAGGAATTTCGCAGCGATTTATTTACGATTTATTTTGATTTCGCTATTCGGGGCAATCTTTATGAGGCTTCCACACTATGCGAACCATAAATCACTGCCAGCAGTGGCGCTCTAAAGCTAGATTCGCACGTCATCCTGGCCAGACGGGGTGTGAGCGGTCTGATTTGGGCCAGTCGTTGTCCCCGATTGACTGATAAGACCCTGGTTACTTTGCAAGGAAAATAAATGCCCGGTCATCTAACAGTAATTGAAAGGAAATCACTTAATTGAATTTACTTTTAAAGGACTTTTAAAGGTTAAAGAAATGGGGCAGTAATTCATACTATATTCAAACCCAAACTACGTTTATTTATATTTTCTTATCTGTCTAGACATTCTTGCCTTTCTTTAACTTTTACTTTGGCTTTAATATAACTTTAAGATTGGGAATAAATCTTAGCATTATCAGACTCACAAACTTTATAAGAAATTGTATTAGAAAATTTATGTAGATGATAGATAAAAGCTTTTTAAGTTAGGTTTATAGATTTATTAGAGAAATTTTTCCCAAAGCAATACATTTTCAGGTATATTTCTAGTACAATGTTTCTGACTAAAATATAAGCTTCTGATATGGCCCTAATTACTCCCCTGCAGGTCAATGAGAAAGTTTTCTTCAATGGCAAATAATTATGTGTAATAATTAGAAATAATTGTTCCGTTGAAGGTTCTCCACTCGATCAATCTCATAAAGCCTTCCGCAAACAACTTTCACCTGTGCCAACTGTCAAAGTTTTTCCTTATAACTTTTGGCCACACGATACCCCGAAGCGTGACTCATTTCCCAGGCATTTTCGCATTTTCACCTGGCCAAATGGAGGCTCGCCAAAAACGCAAATGGCCAACTAGCGCGTGGACATGGAGTTTAATCGTAATCAGTCATTGATATTGATTGGGCGATATGCCCATGCCTACCACCGCTCCCCACCCAAGGCATGCCACCACCCACCGCTTCAAAAAAATGCCGCTATGATTGACAGTAAATAACGGCGCTTAGTGTGCGAGTGAGACGGCATAGTTGAAGGGGGAAACGATTAGGGAGCTGGTCAGCAGTTGGCCTCGAAGTTCAAGTGGGGCCAACACGGAGCTGCCAACTCGTTCCACAGCCACATGGGGCTGTCAACGCGATAATCAACTGCAAATATTTATTTCCAATGACAGAGTTTGAAAGTTAATTGAAAGAGTTTAACACGTTGTGGGAGAAGCATTTCCGGTTTGTTACCTTAAAAATGTAATCAACACTTATTGGTTGGGCAAACTTTAAAAATTAAATAAAATAATAAAAATCCGTCAAAAACCATAAAAACCCTGATAGTTATGTCTTCATTAAATTAATCAAAACTCTCCCATAAATGAGTAACCAAACGAAAGGTAACAAAACAATTTGTTAGCCAAAATGGCAAATTAAATTGTTAAGTTTATTAAACGGCATAGTCGGTTGTCACGTCGATGTCAAAAAGGCCAAACGGTAAACGGCAAGAAAACCGAAAAACACTTTTGGCCAGGTCTTGAGTTGGCTATGGGTTTTTGGCCAAAACAGCTAACTTGGCTCATTGGAAGCCATTAAGCAGACAATAAGCTGCGTCTTTTTAAATGCCTGCCGTTGGCAGGTTCTCGCCGACCGGCTACCAGCGACCGGCGCATGCAATTAAAGCCAAGCCGAGTAGTTGGCCAAGAGGTTGGAATGACCACCCACGCCGCCAGCTTGGCCAATTAGTTTGATGAGCGTTTTCGGCTGCCGTTGACGGCAAATGAGCAAAAGAGCAAAAAATTAATTAGCTTCTTGCGGTATCCGCTTGATTGGCCAAATTGCGGGCCAGCCCAGCAAAAAATGTGGCCAAAATAAAGATTGATTTGAGTTTGGGATTTGTTTTGGCTTTAGCCTGACCTCAGCAGGGTTAGCATTAAGCTGGTTAATAGGAAATGAAATATTTTCAATAAATAGATTACAAATATATATCAGCCAATGTAACTATAAAGATAGGAAATCATTATATCACCTATAAAAATCACGTTTTTGCCCTCCATAAAGAGATAAGACAACCGAATACATTCCAAGCATTATCTAACCCTTTCTAATAGGCCCAAGTGTAATCTAGAAAAAATTCCCCGTTTTAGTTTTTCAAAGAATTTCCAAATAAAAACATCTCATTGATCTGAAGGGGCTCAAGCGATTCAAACATCACATAATATCGATTAATTGGCCAGTTTGAGTAGGTAAAAAACACATTTCAATAATCTCGATGACAGGCTGTGTCTAAGAACTCCTATTTCGCTAATGAACAGCACTCGGCTATCACTTGACAACTTAACAGATTTCGTGTTGTTTGTAAGCGAATCTAATCGGTGGCAATCTCCCTGGCACATTCCTTGTGACGTCACAGCGATAGCCAGCCGGCAATCTGTGTTGGCCCGTGACTTTAGCCAATATTTTTTCACGAAACTTCAATCGACTTTCTACTCGTAATACAAAAGCTGCTGTGTCGGAGTCTCGGCAGTTGGCAACAGCCCTGATAACTGGGCTGAAAGCAAAAAAAAAACTGAAAACCAAAAGTGAAAAGTAATTGTTTACGATTTTATTGGCGGAGGAGAGGTCCCATCCGCCACCTGAGTCACGGAAATGGTGAAATCGGAATGGCCAGAAATTTATTTAGGGAACAACCTTTGCACCGATCACAAGATATTGCCTGATTGAAGGGGAATACTGCCCGGCCAACTTAATCCCACTTAAGGTTCCTGTTATTTTCGTTTCACATTTGAAAAGTGTAATTATCTTTTGAGTGTCGAACGTGACTCTTAACTATTCTAAAGAAATGTCATTTTACTTTTATATTAGTCAGTAATTTCCCACAACCAGCAGTCTACAGAATTAATCCTTATTGACTGACCACATGCTTACTTTTAGTAGAGTGCTGCTATTTTTAATCGTAAGTCTATTTAAAAACCAATTTATTGAAAACTATAAAAGGAAACCCCTGTAGTTTGGGACTTTCCTTTAATTGCAAAATAGAAACCACAACTGTTTGTGCTAGGGAAATGAAAACTCCCTCTAGCTTTCCCTTTATTCCAAAATAATCCTTCTAATCAAGCTAATTAGTGGCTATTTCACACCCCTCTTATCAATTGCCAATCTGTCTTACTGTCGTATACCCAATTTCGCCGGACTTTAATGAGCTTAAAGTGCCCACCAGTAGGGCAATCCAATCCAATTCAATCCAATCCGTGTCTGTGCCAAAGTACGTCAGCAATCACTGGCCAGCCAAGTGGCTGTCATTGGTCGTCATCGGCAGGCGTCAGAAATCAGAAATCAGGCATCAGTCGTCGTCGTCCCACCACATCGAACATCGATACTGACAATGGCCCATTATCATCGGCGGATTACAAGGCTGGGCAAGGAGGAGGACAACAAAAGAGCGAGGAGCGAGGACTGCTCACGGTGCACAAATCGCCATTGTCTCGTCAAACAATGGGAATCACAAGGAGCAGTGGCACTTACCCATCCCCATTCACATTAACATCCATGTCCATGTTCATGTCCACGTCCAAGACCATGAATCGATTGTCAGTGGACCGCGCCCCCTTCTTGTGTTCCGCATCCTGTCCGGGAGCCATTGTCAATCAATGTTCAATCAACTGCTGCATTTTTGGCAACTTCCGCTGGAAGAAGTAGAGTAATGCCACCCAATTGACATACTTCTCATGCACTTGGAGAAAATATTGGTTTTAGGTACCAAAATATGTTTAATAAATAATTTTTTAGATTTTCCTTTATGATTTTTGAGTGAATCTTTATTCTTAGAGAGCACGTTAGAACTCAAAAATGCTACTACATAATCTCAAGATATTTAAGTTTAATTTTTTCCAAGTGTCCTGGCAACGGATGTCGCATGCGGGTCCTCATTCTGTTGCCTTATTGTGACCCTAATCGCTTTAAATTGTGATACACTTAGGGGTGGTTCCGCTTTATTGCGTGGGTGTTAACCGTTTTTATAGCCAGCCGGAACTATTGCCATTCCCGTGATTGTGATTGAGATTGAGAGTGAGCCCATTAGGCGAGCAGCTCGCCCAGGAAACAGATTCCGGCGAGGGCGTGTCCGCCGCCCAAGACCATGGCAGCCATCACAATATCCTCGAGTCGCAGTGGCTCGATAGTTTGTGTTTGAGTGGGAAAGAAGTGCAGGAAGCCAGCTCTAATGGCCAACTCGTGGACATCATCCACCAGTTTATTCTGCAAGCCAGTCTCAAACAGGCGTTGGATATGGTCATTGTAGTATTTTTCTAGAACCCAATTTTGTTTGATAACCTGAACGGCCCAGGTGTAACCCACTGGATTTGATAACTTCTTCATCCGTCGTCTTCGCAGGAATTTCTGCTGATATAGATAGAAATCCATTCTATCCTCCGAGTCCACATAGGCGTAACTTGGATCCAAGCCATCTCTTTTCTCCTGATGCAGGGACTCTTCTACCAGAAGGAATCTCTCCCTTAACTCCTTGGAACTTCCATAAACTGAACTTGGTCGAAGATTGTGAGTTTGCAGCAGTATACTGACATTGGCTGCCTTGAGGTCAGCCAAGTTTTCTATGGGTCTTTGGTATAGTTTGGTGGTCAACATCATGGATAACAGTGCCACATATAAATTGGATAAAATAAAACCAAAGGCAAAGAGCAGAAGAAGTAACATCAATTTGGTGACACTCGATGACTGCGGCAAAGATAGTTCGCGGTTCAGCAGTGTTTCCATGGCCAGCAGGAGGTACTGGCCCACATCCCATTCCTTGAAATGCCAGCGATGGAGCAACGAACCCATTACCCATATATAGACCACTATAGACCCAGTACCGATCCAAACGTACAAGTCAAATGGTCTGAAGAAATAGTAGAACTTCTCGATGGGGTTGCCAAATGGCGCCATTATAGCCACACGATTCAGCCGAACTGGCTGACTGGTGGCATATTTATAGGTCCTTATAAAGATACTGCCACAGGCATCGGTTTCATTATCTTTCACCATCTGCAAACATTCTGCCGTATTATAGCGTCGAAGTCCTGGAAAGGGTACAGCTTGAAAGGTGGCATTCAGATGATCGGCAAATATTTTGAATATCGTGATTATACTTCCTTTATAGCGATTTGGGGAGCCAGGTAGTTCATCTTTATCTACAAAGCAATGAGGTGGATCATTGGTCACTAAAACACGCACTGGATAACCCATTAGATTCCGATTATTTCTGTCCTTTATATATTCTTCTAAGTTTGTAGATATTATCTCCAAGTAAGGATAGGGCTTCATTGACCAAAGTTGTTCTTGCAAGTCATAAATTAGCACATAGGGAAAGCCTGCATCCCAGTAAGCTTTACCAATTTCCCAATAGCTGATCACCTTTTCAGAATCTCTACCTATAAGCATTATATTGTTGTATTGTCTATCTGTGAGATAGGATTTTATCACATCCACTGCTGCCAGATTAAAATCTAAATCCTTTTCAAGTTGCATTATAACAAGCACTGGTTCGTCGTGATACTTTTTAAGTTCTTCACTTATGTTGTTAAAAATCAACAATTTTGGTTGATTAATATCTAAATTTATTTCTTCAAAAGATTCTGCAGTAAAGCCAAAGTAGATGTGGGTTTTAATTTTTAGTTTCGTAGTCAATTGTTTAATGATTGTCTCAGGCTTAGCCAGAAGTAATCTCAAAAAGGTGGTTATGAGAATAACTTTAAGCAGCGACATCTTGGATGACTTATAAGCTAATGAAAGTAAAGAGTAAAGAAGTCACAGAAGAAAACTCGGTTGGTTAATTCAATTAACTAAGATAATTAGTTGGGCAAACTTATTACGGGCATTTAATTACGAACTTTGAAAGGCGTGAAATTGGTGTAATTAAGTCAGATCTAAGTGATTGAAATTCCCTCTTAAGGCACAGGGCAGGGAATGTTTTTTATCATTTAAAATAATAACAAATTCTTTTTTAAAAGTACTTTAAAATATATTTATATTCCTTAATAATTTTTTACTATCTACTTACAAATGTATGTTTTGTTTTTAATCTTAGTACATTAATAGAAATAAAACTATTAAATAAAAGAAATAAAAAGAATTTTCAATATAAAAATAATTTCCAAAATCGCATTATCAAAATCAAGCAGTTAACAGTGCTAACAGTTGGCCATAACTGCCGTTTAACAGCTGCCACTGCTTTAACAGTTCGAACTGCAACCAACAGGTTCGAGCAATAACAGCTGTTAGCTAACACAGCATGTTGCACGCTGCTCTCTAAGCAAATATCGCATGCAATAAATATCACAATGCAGCAGCAATGGCCGCGCTCACACACACACTTGTGCAAAGACTTTCACAGGGAGCAACAACAAATGCGCAAGTTTTCAAACTGCTTTCGATGTTGTTGCTGTTGCTGTTGGTGTTGCCGATGTTGCTGCTGCGCCAACTAATGTTGCTGCTAGCGGTGATGTTGCTGCTGCTGCTGCTGTTCATGTTGCTGCTAGCGTCGCTGCTGCTGGTGCTGCTTGTGTGGAAAGGAAGAAAAACACAAAGCCAAAAAATGTCGCACGTTTCGCTTCGGTTTAGTCTCGATAATTCAATCGCCCTGCCAAGACGTCCAACGTCTCGCTGCCGAAACGCCCGACATTTTAGCCAACATCGTCCCGTGCATTACGCGATTTACACAACCCCTAAATATATATAATATAAAAATTATATATATATATATATATAATAAACGTGCCCCCATCAAATTTTTAATAACATATTTTATATATTATTTGATTATTATTATTGCAATCGCAAAACGGAAGTACATCGCGTGTGTGTGTTAATTCGCGAGTGTGCACGTGTGTGCTTTGAGTGTTTCTTGGCCAGAAATGAGTTTCGATTTCATTTCGTTTTGAACGTAAAGAGAATATCACAGAGCAGAGGTTTAGCTATCGGTCAAGTGAGGCAGGCTATTTGGTGATTACATGGGGATTACAACGCCGAAACTGCCCAATGTCAACCATCACATCAATTAAGCAGCAGCACGTTATCACACAGCGACTACATCGACACCTCTGAGTTTTAGTTTACTGCTCTGTGCCGGCAGTAAATGGGTTAAAATTATGTACATTAATCGCCGAATGAATGTCGAATCAGTTAGAGAGACTGCTGTTTTTTATTGTGAGTATCAGTATTGCCAATGATCGATGGCCCGGCCAAGTGAAGGTGAAGTGGTATTATTAAATTATTATGCTTGCAGTTGTTTCCGAAACAGCACTTGGGGGGAGTACTTCAAAATTGAGGATATAACATGTTTTACAGTAACTAATATGAATAGTTAATCATATGAGTTAGGATTTGATGGGAGGAAGGAGTACTATATGCTTTAAGGAAGTTAATGTGTATTAACTTTTATTCTTGGTTACTCTTAGAAGAAGGCTTATAGAACTTTACCATAAGTTACTAGAAAAGCATTAACAATAACATTCAAAGCATTATGCATTCTTTATCAGTTCATAGAACCTCCTAGAACCATACCATTCTGTAGTTGCATCTCCTTCTCACGTTAAAATCAAATTAATTACCGATATGAGAAAGGCCCCTTAACTTTCCAGCGCCACCAGCTCTCATGTTACCCACTCGAATGGCAATACCCTCGAAATCTATAAAACAATAACAATCAAGGCCTCTTAAGAATAACCGCAGCCTCAATCATAACTATCGTTCTACAAATTAGCCAAGTTACAAAGAACTAAAGGCTGAAACACTTCCTCAATACACACACACAACTTAAACACACCCAACACCACCCACTAAAGGGGGGAAGGGGGAAACTTTAGCTGGTAGCTTCGAAATCTTATCAAGGCGCACGCTTTGTAATGCTATCGAGCACTTCCTCGCCTCGAATTTATGCCCTGGGTAACCTCGTTTCGATCCCCCGTAACCAATGTGCATGCTATATTTTCCCAAGCATTGATGCACAGAGAGAAAATGAAGGAACTAGAAAGTTATAACAACAAACCAAAAGTACGACATCTTAAAGTTCTTAAGCTAAAAGCTGAAACCACATTGCCTAAGAAGAGTTTTTAAACCATTAACCCCTTCAAGAAGATACCTTCTTTTCTCACAGTGCCTGTGAAGACGCTCAAGGTGGGTGGCGAAGAAGAGGCGGGCGTAGGAGGTTTGGAACTTGAGTAAAGTGAAGTGGTAGAAAAAGCCAAGGGTTGCGGGGCAAGCAAACGCATTATTTTGTAATTATCGACAGAGTTCTAATAAATAAACCGTAGCAAGGCCCCACACAAAAGCGTTGGGTTATTCTTTTTTTTTCTGGGTTGATGAAATTATGAATGGCGATAAGGTGTGGCATGTGTGAGAGCGAAGCCGAGAGGCAAAGATACCCACGAAATGATTGTAACTCTTTTCCATTCAGATTCTACAAACGAAAACAGAAAATCTAAAATAAATCTCGTGAAAAAAATTACTATAGAAAACAGGAAGATAGCAAAGACTGGAGTAAACAGAACGTAACTCAGCTATAAAGATATAAGTTTCCAAAGAGATAGTTGGCTCCATAAATCGTGTACTTTGGCAATAAAAAACTACGCAGAAAATGATCGAAATTACATGGTCAAAGTCCACTCGAAATTACTGTAAGCCCAGAAGCACCTGACTTCCATATATATATCGCAGCTAAATCTGGGTTCAATTTGATTTACAACCTGACCTGGCACAATATATATGGGGGGAGAGGGGAAAGGGGGACAAACACAAGCGCCGCCCGCTTGGCAAAACAATAAATTCATTAAATCAAAGGCGCGATTATTAATGAATGTAATAAAATACCAAAGAGACAACTAATCAAACATGATAAATTACCCAACAAAGGGGGCTTTTTTTCGGAGGGGTGGCGGTAGGTGAAAGAAGGTAAAGGCTACCGACATACGCCCATTCAGGGGCGTCGCATAAAAAGGGGGAGACCACTCAAAGATGGCAATAGAAGACAGAACAGGCAAACAAACAACAACATGAAATACTTTTGGGCCTTGTTTGTGTTTGTCGTGACAACGTGTAAACATTGGTATGCAATTTAGGTTTTGATATTTGTGAGTTTTTGTATCTGATAGATACTATTATTTGGGGCTCCATTGGGAGATAGCAGGGCGATAAGGTGGGCAACAAATGATAGACTCTTAAACTGGCAAAATTGTTCTTGAAGGCCATTTAAAGTTCCAGATTTTAAATCCCTGTTTTTCGCTCTCTTCCAGGTGGTGATTTCAGGTGCATTATGTACAGTAGAAGATTACGTAATAATGTCACAGTGTGCACACAACAAAGCCATATACCTAGCTGCGGAAGGAACAGTCTCAGTGACAGACACTTCACAGATACGTAAGTATTCCAATAAATTTACTACTTAACCCCCTCATGCCCCTAACACCTCAAGTGCCCCCCTCTACTGGCATTCCTCCTGTTCGGATGTATTTCTTTTTTTGTTTATTAACACGTCTGCAGGAAATGCCTTCACATTGCCATCTAATTTACAATTTCTACTCTTTCTTTTTTGGTTGTGCCCTCGAAAACCTTTCACAAAAATATATCCCGAAAACACAAAAATATTTCAACAATTTACAGTAGTTTGTAGCTGCTGTTTGTTTGCTTTCGATTTCCATGACAATAGAGAAGGGGTTGGTGGATGTGGGGGGTGGAGGCATTCCACTTGACTTGTCCAAAAGTCGGTAACAACAATAACAGAAAGTGCCACAATTGTTGAATATTTTCTTCTGCCTCAGTTATTAATAATGTTGCCAACTGTCATTCAAGCGCGTGACGAAATCTACTTGAGATGCTGTAACAGAGCATGGAATGTAAATGAAGTTTGGAAAGAAATAACTTTCGAGTTTTCTTTGAGTTATTATTAAGTACTAGGGGATTTTTTTTTTAATTTATTCGAAAGATTATGAATTGTAAGAAGTTTCTTGCATAATTTATATTTCCCTTAATGCTTTTCTAAGAGGGGAAGTATATAAGATACATCCCAAAAATTCGACTACCTTCATGTTGACCTACAACTAACTGAAAAATACATTTTCATATGCAACCTTTTTGTGGGGCATGCATAAAATGCGTAATTTATTGCAAAAACTGCCAACAAAACAGCTCGCTACTCGCAACAGAGAAAAAAGAAGAAAATCATAAAAATTTGCTACGCTTTGGGTCAACTTTCACTCGGCGCGCAACACCAACCTTTTTTTCGGCTTTGACCATGGCCAATTAGAGCCGCTGCAGCTGCTGCCTGGCTGCAAGGCAGGAGAAAAAAAATGAGATACAAGGACCAGCACGAGCTACGTACACAGCCTCGCACAGCAGGATAATAGGAAAAGAAAGGAAAGGACAATGGAGGTTCAGAAGAAGCGAGCAAAATGCTGGAAAATGCACAAACAACAGGTGCAAAACTGTATTTTGTTTGTTGCGAGTGCGCGTGAAAATTTCCAGCTGGCCAGGGTTAGGGACAGGGACCACTTAAGGCCTAATGTGCGAAAAGTTCCTTTGTCAATTTGCACGCCCTCTCACCGAGCGACCCTGGAAAACTTCATTCATTTGCATGGCTAAGCTCAGGTAGTCGAGGATTATCCCTAGTTCTTACCAAAACTAAGCTGCATTCGGGTTTAACCCACACTTGTTCGGCTGGGAAATTCCCCTACCGGCAGATTTACAGCGGTCAGCCAAATCCTTGGTTAGCTGGAAAAATTAGCTGGAAATGTGACCGAAAATAGGGGAAGGTATGACTGCTAATGAATCCTGACATCTCAATCAATTTTGGGGGAAGCATAAAGGAAAGAGGGAGGTGGAACTTTCACCACCCCAGAAAAAGAAAATAAAAACGTACACACACACACACTCAGGAAACCACAACATTTTCCCATTTTCCAAAACAGAAGCGGGCCACACGTCAATAAATCACACGATTTAATTTCAGACCAACAGAAGGCGAAAATTGTTGAGGTGGCTGTGTGGATGTGGATTGGGATGTGTTTTCTAGGACCGCAACTGCAACTAGGGACCATGGCCATAAAACATTTTATAGCTCATCATGTGCGGTCATAAATTTGAGAACGCAATCAGTTCTGGGCCCCGACTCCCCTATATATATACATATATATCAATATATATCCATGGGTTAGGGCTATATGTTCAGGGCGTTGCCCAATCAACACCTAACCCTTACCCCTGTCCACGGGATATCCATGTAACAAGTAACGAAACCGTTAATTTCTTGATCAAATGAATCCCAATCCCAGTCCCTGGCGGCCCTTTTAATTCTGGAACTCCTCTCTATAGACTCCGTATGAATATGAGTGGTCTTCTGGCAGTTTGGCCGCTTGTTTGCCTGGCAGTTCATTAAAAATGTTTAGCATTGTTAAGCATCGTTGAAGGCGGCAGCGCCGGTGATCAATCAGATATTCCGAAGATTCTGTATCTACGATTATCCAAATGTCTTTATAACGAGTGCGAGATGATCAGAAAAACAGCCTAGGTACTTTAGGAGTGTTCATTGATTTACCCAATAATATTCTTAAGCCTTTTTCTTTATGAAGAAAAACTTAGAATTGGAATATCTTTTACTTTTTTAATCACAGATATTGTGTAGTGGATATTACTATAAGTTGATGTATTTTTAATTGACAGATCCTTAAAATCAAAAAAAGATTCTATGATAATTTCCATCCATTCATCTTCTTGAGTGTTAAACTCACCTCTACCGAATACCTGCCTTAAACAAATTTGTAAATCCTTTTCCACCGATCTTTACCCACACAAACTTTAACCCTTTATGCCTAGACTTACTTTCTGTGTGACACGATCATGATCATGATCATACACACAACTTGTTCCCAAAGAAAATCCCTCAATGACTTTGCCGCCTGGCCCTGAGACCTAAACCCTAAGCCCTAAACCCTAAACCCTAAGCCCTGAAAACCCAGAGCCGCGACGAGACCCAGACGAGGAGGTGCTAATAATGTGGGAAATATTTAGCACCATCATTACAAACATCATTAAAATATAAATAGATGTGTTTAACATGAACACCCAAAAGGGAAAACCAAAGGGAAAAAGAGCGGCCGAAAACATGGAACAGAAAGTTCGACTTGGTCGAAAAGGAAATCATGGCCCAAACGAAAAATTCCAAGAAATAGCACATGTAGGGGGGTATGGGTATAGTCATTGAACCTATATAGCCGCCTGTCTCTACTTGCTTCGATCGCGCAGATTCATCAATTAACGCCCCTGAAGAAAGAGACAGGCGACCCATGAACAGAACGAGACAGATAGCCCCTTCATTTCGGTCCAAGACGTCAGCAAATAAATGCATTTCCGTTCGTTGGCCATAACAAACAAATTTCCAAGAGACGCCGACGACGACGACCACGATGAAGCTAAAGAAAATGTTGAAAAATTCCCAAACAGATTCGACTCGATATTCTGTTTTTCTTTTTTTTTTTTTTTTACCTACCGCGCGCCTAAAAAACAAGAAGAAGATGAGGGAAAAAAGGGGCTCAAACGGTTAAGAAAACATGGTCAACAACAAAGCCGAACAAGTGTACCGCTTGCCGATCGTCAGTTCGACAGTTTTTGGTCAATTGCTTCACTCGGAGTTGGGAGCTCGGAATTTTTGGTAACGAAAAGAGAGAGAGAGAGAGATAGAGAGAGAGAGGGAGATAGAGATATGTCAAAGGGTCTGCCTGCATTGATTTCCACTTAACGCTTCAAAACTCAAGTGGCCAGTCCAGTCCAGTCCAGTCTAGGCCACATACTATATACCATCTTTCTGGCCAAGTAAACTCTGCGCTTTCGTTCCTGGCTCTCTCTGTTTCAATATTATTGTTTCCCACAGTCAGTGGAAAATATTTAAGCGCCAATTTGATTGTAGTTTTTCTTGTCCCAGTAGTTTTTCCTCTTCATTTTTTCTTCCATTTCCATTTTTCTTTCTTGGCCCCGGTCAAGTGTCGCCCCCTTGAATTTGAATAACAATGCCGTTCGGCTCGTCTTCAAAGCTGGCTTTCTATCCCGAATTCGAACACTCCACCCCAGACTGTTAACCCGACTTCGATTTTGGTAATGAGCGATTGGATCGTTTGATCTTCAGTTGGCAGCAAGGAGCCGGGTTGTCAGCAATTACGCACTTGACGTAGAAAATCGGCCCTGACAATGGGAGCTGGCCAAGGAGCTGGGTTCAATAGGTTTTGGGGGCTAGTCAGTCGATCCGATCGATCCCCGGGAAATCAAAAAGTTCTTGGAATCTGTTATTGTCTAGCGTGGGAATATAGCTGTGACCATAGCGACATCGTTTTTGAGGTGAGAAAGTTGGTTAAGTCAGAAATGAATGGACCTGCTTTGGGAAGGAAGAGCAGCTATCAGCTTAGGGCTGCAAAGAATCTGGCAATCACAACGAGATTTCGCATTATTTAGATTTTCTTTTTCAACCCAACAAAAAGTTTTTATCCTATCTTAATCCTTGTTTTTGAGATAAACATGCAACCGAATCATGTTCTAATCAATAAAAACCCACCACATGCCGCATAGCTGGCCCGATTATCGGTGAGATAATGGAGTCCAGACCCATCTCAGACTCATAACTATAGCACACTCCATGCCGAACACACCGGCACACCGTTAAATTGTGCATTTTATGAGCCCAAAAACCAAATCCAAAGCCAGAACTGAAAAGCCATTAAAGAAATGCCGCGGATAAAACAAAACGCCGCCGTTCACCGATCAGCCGATCACCCGATCGCTATTCCATGATCAGTGGGGCAATAAATTCATCAAACAAATATCGCTAGGCCTGCTGCTGCTGATCGACAGGAATATTAAAAACCACAAAACTATAATCAGGGCATTATGATCAGCGCCGATCGTCTGTGGGTCCAGGAAACATATCAATCTCCCAGAGCCACCGTTGTGGCCTTTTTTGGTTTTTTTTTTGTGGTGGTGGTGCAGCCATTAACTGCCTGCAGACGACCTAATGGACAAGATCTTTCGTCACTCCCAGAAAGGAATTTACCTTTTTGTGTTTTTTTCTGTTGTTGTTCTGCCGCAACAAAGATCGATCGATAGATCTTTCGAACTGATCTGCTGTCGCCGATGTGTGGTTGATCCCTAAATACCCTTTAAATTGAACTTAATTCCAGCGCACACCGCATTTATCATCATTTATATCGGCGGGCCCTTCCGCTTTTTACTCGGAGGAGTTAACCAGGTCCCTGAGTGCTGAGATAGGCTATCTGGCGGGATGTGTAATGGAAGTGAAGGATCAGGCATCTGTTGTTAGGGAAATGGATGGAATAGGATGTTGGTCCTTAAAGGAATAAAAAACAAATTTATATCAA